TAAGTATTTTTTAATTAAACTTGTTAAGGGTACTCTTGAGAAGTAAATCCTTTTTAATACCTGATCCGCAGTTTAATTTTAAAAATTCCGCCCGTTTTGGAACACCTGTCCATCTGTAATACACTTTATGAAAAGAATGCCTTCCATCCATTATTTGTACCTTTGTGTTTCTCAAAGTACTTTCTTACAAAAGTGTTAAAGGGCTTACCGAATTCCAATATGATGAATGGCGATATTGCTTGTTATTCGGACATATTCTCTGTAAACGACAGAATGAATATATCCAGAGAGAAATTATATATCTAGTCAGAATGTTATAATGGCAATGAAAATACATTTTCTACTGAAATATATATATTTATTAAGATAAATTGTTGGGAAGCTGACTGAAAATGCTTATATTCTTAGTCTAAAACATTATTCAAAATACGTCACCTTTATATACGCAACTTTACAGAAGAAAACTCCTGTTTTCAGCGAGATATCCTGTATGGTGATTTTGTTTCGCATCGTAAATTGAGAATTTAATGTGATAAATATTTTAATTATGTAACGGTCTCCGCCACTCTCTGATAACACTGAGTGCCCCAACCTAGCAGGTGCATGATTTTTCTCATTCCCTCCAGAAAAATACCGAGATTGTTCCATAAATTACATAACGATAGCTTCTTTTCTTATCCTTTCCAATTCGTTATTCAGTAACAATCCTCTCATTCGACACTATGTAATCTGAGCTATTGAATGTCGCCTTAAATTGAAATAAAACTTGGAATAATCCTCTGAGTCTATTCTAACAGTAATTGCTCTGAGGTATTTTCTTACTTAATGTTATTAGTAATACGAGTTTTACATGTATTCTTTATGAAGTCTGAGACATCAGAATGCGTTTTTCATGACCTTTGAAGGCACCAGGACCTGTTGAAATTTAAATTAGAGTGGATTAGTTCTTATTCGTCTCCTTAATACATATGCAAATTTATATTTTCTTCTCACTTCAACGCAGTGTTATGAAACCCAGTTATATGTAAGATGCTTTTCTGTTGTTGCTACAGTACATCAGTTGAAAGTCTATTCCTGTCAGAGCGTATTTCGGTCCTGGATACTCAGACGGCTTAAAGCATTGCACCTGTGGATGCAAGTACAGGAAATGTCTCAAACCGAGGCGGTGAGAAGATATTGGATAACACTCTCATGTGTAAGCCAAAGAAGTGCGCCCTTCCATATGTCCTGTGCTATTTAATTTGGAAACAAGGTATAAAATGTATCAATAAAGACCCCGGTGTAAATAAAACATATTATTTAATGAAAAATAATTTATATTGTCACTTATATAAGTTACTATAGACATTGTTTGGATTGGAAATTGGATTTATTTGCCACTTACCGATACTAACTACAAGTAACTATAGTGCTATCGCATATTCACACACTCTGCAGCTCACTGCAGCAATGATTGAGACTTTTCAGTCTGCTGTGTCCTCATAGGTCGTTGCCTGATAGCGGCTTCGAACATCGGAAGTTCGCCTTATTATGTATGCCCAAAATATCCCTGTGTCTCAGCTACCTACCTCTAAAAGTAACCGTTCACGACTGAACTGCAGTCCTCTAAGTAAATTCACCAAGCAAATCTCCATTTCCCTGCACTGCATTACCTAAGTAATTGCCCTACGTACATCTCGGCACGGACCGCATAGAGAACAATGTTCTGTTGCGTTTCAATTTTTGCTTAGCGGTCCTCAAAGAAAACGGCGTTCCTCTGTTGCTGTTCATTGGTGCATGTTAGCAATATGTTGCCTAGCAGCGGGCGTTGTTTAGAATATCCTGAAATGAAAACGTTAAAAGAATTCAAGGTTGTTTTGCTCTGGTGACATGATAGTCATACCGAATTTCATGACTATGTGCCAGTTCGTACAAAATCTATTACGGGGAGGTGGCAGGTACAATGTGATATATAATGTGACTATACTTCTTTATGTAAAATATGTAAAAAAAAAAAGTGAAGCTGTCCCTGTAACAGGCCGTGGAGGCCCATAGGGTTGTGAGACGTTGAGGGCCCAATATTATCTAGACAATCGGCTCAAAGATGACGGTAAGTTTGTCAGCCTTACACGCCGGCCGCGCTTTACTCCCCAGGAAAATTATTTAATTAATTCCTGGTACTCATTTCTGCTAGAGGCTTAGTCGACCCCCATGGCCATAGTGCGGCTGGAAAGATCAGGTCAATTGAAAAAAAAAATCCAGTGACCTCATCGGGACTTGAACCCGCGACTTTCCGACTTGTAGAATAGCCCCTCAACCAACTACGCTACCCCGTGCCCCGTACTTCTTTATGAAATAAAGTAATTTAATAATAAGAAATTTACGAAAAATTCCTCGTAATTAGACGATAGAATTAGCGTGGTTGTGGAATTTCAGATCAAGGCTATGTTTGGTTAACTTTGTTTTAAAACTTCACCGACAAGCAGGGGTCGCTCGGACGGTATAGTTCTCTTGCGGACTAAAGCCACGGAGTTTGTTTAGTTTGTTGTTTGTATAATTACAGTATCTGTAGGCCTGCTTGTTATCTTTGAATGAACAGAACTAAATGTGCGCCGCAGTTGAGCAGCGTCCGTTTCGATTAGAATTGATAAGCATACAAATACGTGTACATATGCGTGGAGGATGACTAACTAACGGATGCGTCTGGTTATTGTTCAGTGGCTGTAACTCCGGGCTGTGTATCGTGCATAGTTTCTGCAATCAGATATGCAGAACAAGACTCGCTTTAATTAAATCAAATACAGTGTTCTGAAAGTGTAATTGTATCTAATAGGGTGAGAAATGCCATTATTCCCCAGTGGAACAGATTACATTTGCTTTATGATCGAATTTAATGGTACTGAGGCTGAGGATTATTCAGTTTTGATATCGGGCGTCCATAATTACCCTCGCGATGCATAAGTGAGCTCATAAATTCGAAACGTTTCCATGAATAAGAGTCTTCTCGAAAAGTTTGTTACCAGCTAGTCAATAAATTGTTCATTTTCTCTGAATGAAGAAGTTTATTATCTTAAAACTCCAACATTTGACCGTATCTTCTGCCTCTTCCCCAAAATATCTATTTATTTTTCATGTACATTTCCTCTAAGATGAATTTTCATCTGTGTCTACGTTCTCCAGTTAGTCTGTTCCCTCCAATTATTCCCGCCAAAAATTTGGACTCATTTCTCGTTACACCCATCTCCATCTCCTTTTTTAATATCTTAATGTTTTTTTTTTTTAAATTGTGGCTCATCTCTATATATTGTTTTATTTCACCATCTTGTTACACACGCATCTGTCTAATCTGCAAACAATCTCCTCTTCGGAATCTTACTACTGCTCCTTCAGCTTATTGGTTTACTCCTGCTGACCACTGTTTACTTCGGAATCTGCTCGCTTATGAAGATGCAGCACTGACACACCTCACAGAAAACACGTCACATGTCGCTATGTATTTCCGTGAGACGTTACCGCGCATGCGTCATTTGTGTGGACACAAAGAAAACGCAGTTTCCTCTACTGTTGCGTTCTAGTATTTTGGGCATGGCCTAGAGATGACGTACTTCTATGTTACGTGTTGCAAAGTGTTTATGGAACTGGAAAGGTGATATCGTCCAGACAAGTTCTGAGCTCCACCCAGCCTCCTATCCAGTGGGTAGCGGGGGCTTTCTCCTCGGGAGTAAATCGACCGGGGTGTGAAACTGACCACTGTCCTCCAACTAGTGTCGAGGTCAAGAAAATGTGGCTCAGTACATCCATCCTTTCCCCATACGCCTTCATGGCGTAGTGCTTAATTAGTTAACAAATTGACGACTTTATTTACCGTTCTCTGAGCGGCCTCCGTAGTCTAGAGGTAACGCTCCCACCTCATGACTCGTAGTACGCGGGTTCAAATCCCCGGCGGAGGTCGTCGAATTTTTAATGGCGGAAAAATTCAGGGAACAAGTCCTCCGGGAGGGACTTTAAGCCGTGGGTCCCGTGTCGTAGCTTTACGGCACGTAAAAGAACCTCATGTCTCCAAAGGAGGTCACTGAGCCAAATTACGGACGTTTCCCGCCCAACAGCAGTCTCTAATACCTCTGGTAGATGGGGAAGCATTATAGATACCTCTCAGCTAGTAGAGCCGGTCTCGCTGCTGGGCGGGACTGATGGTAAGCACCAGTACCGGTAGGATATAGAGACTGGTAGAAATCATAGAGGAAAGCACAATGGACCAATACAGGTCTCAGTGCATGGGGAAACCCACCCTCTCCAATAACTAACTAACTAACTAACCACCTTTCTCTGCCCTAACACTTTAGTTATTACAGTGTCGGAATATTTTTTTAAGTAAAGTGGACTGACTCCTTACCGGTCATTATCACTAATATATTTCGTGATTTTCTTTGTTATCGCTAGTTAAAGCACCACTGCCTTCTCGGGACAGTACACTTCTCATTGAGATATTCAAATTTCTTACATAGATTTTTCGAGATCATTAACATTTAATGAGATGTTGAAGAAAAGTAATCGCATATTCGAAGAACTGGGTGTCCTTTGTAGTATGAAATCCATCATCATCATCATCAGTAATCTGTCAGACGACAGGTCCACAGTCTCTTCCAAAACGATTCCTCCACCTAATGCGATCTAGAGCTTTCTCCTTCAAATGACAGTATCCTCTTCTGTCCCCAAGGTCATCCAGCATCTTCTTACGTCTTCTTCCTCGTCTTCTTGTCACTTCTATCCGCCCCTCTATCTTTCCTTCAATAACTTCTTGTAACCAAATAAACATCAAAGCTTATATAACGGCGTCTTCAGTAGCAAAACACTTTAAAATACTGAAGCAACGCATTGGGAGAAGATATGCATTGCAATTTGAGATGTATGTTGTAAACTTATTTTGATTTTGTGGCCTCTTTTCCGCAGTAAATTCCTTTAACTCGCATGCAGGAAGTGTATCAAGGAATTCACATGGATCTTTCTTTCTCCTGTCCCAGAACGAAGCTCTTGACGTCGCCTTGACTTCTCTCCTCCTGAAGATTGAAGCAGCCGAGCCTGACGCTACCTCCAGATACGAGTTTCTGTGAGTACCCAATATTTTATATGGACCATTAAGCTGGCATTTCTGGACACATGTGTAGCTCCATTGGATGTTTTATTCATTTGTCTAAGAGTACACCATCAAAAACAGTACGTGCTGAAATTGATATGTCACCGACTATCTCTCTCTTCCAGGTTCCTATCTTCATCTTTTTGTTTCTTTCGTTTGCATTTTTCTCCGTTTCTTACACCCTTAATTTCCTTTCCTCCCTCTTCTATATCATCCTTTCTTCCTTTTTCTTCCATTTATTTTTCCTCTTGATTTACTTATGTTCGTTCCTCTTATTCCTTTAATCTTTACGTCTTTCTTTCCTTGTTTTTTTCCTTATTTTACTTCTTTGTTCATTTTCCTTCTTATGTTCTTTACGTCTTCCATTTTACATATTAATATATCTTAATTTTCCATCAGAATCAGTCCAGTAAATATTCATTAAAAATACTACAGAATATTTTACATAATTTACTTCCTGTTATGAATGTTTTTATGAAAATATCATAACAACGTCAGTATATCATCGTCGCCGTCATTAACATCATCATTGTTTACTCTGCAGTATAATTTACCTGATACGTTCAAATGTTACGCGATGAATCTATCGAACAGCGATATTTAATTAGTTATCGGCTTCGAAGAAATTTTGGAATTTGTCTACTAACCTTTTGATGTTGGTACCTAGAATTAGCGTAGAGAAGTATGGCTTGCTGATTAATGTCGCTTCAGTTGTTCATAACCTACAGTATCACTTTTATAAATAAAGTCTTTCCAAGCGAATACTGCTTTATATTCTAGAAACGTTTAAGTTATAAAGGCAACAGTTTGAGATGACAAAAGATTTTCAATTAAATTTTGAATACCTTGGTATGATCACGATGAATAAATATATTCTTCAGTAATTAAATAAGATTGAAAAATGACTACTCCAGCTTAAGTGACACGTATTTCCAAGTCCATGATTCTCGATGCTTCGCCCTTCTTTTGTTTCATTCTTAATTCCTGATCCCATGCAGTAGGAACCTTTGCGAGAAATGAGAGCCTTTCAGTTAGTCAGGATATTCCCAGACATTTTTTGGAACTCGAAGATTTATTAACATGCTCACAAGAGCCCGCCACTAGATGCTATTCCGAGACAGGTGAATCCAATCCACATCTTCTTATCCTATATCTGTAAGATCCGTTTTAAAATTATCCTTTCATCTATATTTTGCATCTTAGATGGTCTTGTCCTTTAAAGCCTCCCGATTAAAATTTGGCATTTATTTCTCAGCATAAGGTAAAAAGGAAAAGGTAAAGGCATTCCTGTAACAGACCGTGGAGGCCCATAGCGTTGAGAGACGTCGAAGCTCCCACATTTTCTAGGCAGGTGGCTACGATGTGGAGAAGAGAAGATTCTTGTCCTTACCGTGACTCGAACTCCGACCCCTCGGTCGTCCAGCCCGTAGCCAGTCACTGTGCCGACTGCACCATTCCGTCACCTTTGGGTAATTGTAACATTACTAAATGTAATTTAACTGATCACGGGTAGCAGATGGCAACTGTAACGTAATTACCTCAGCTTCCAATTAGTAGATCCAGTGATTGAACTTTTAAGCCTATCAAGACCAAGTCCAAATGATTAAATACTTAGTCAAGACATTCCCATGAGGGATATTCTGCTTGCAAGAAAATTCTCAACTTTTCTCTGATAAATATATTTCATGCTGAAATAATCAAATTACACTTCTGCTATCTTAAGTAATGTTGAATTTCCTGTGATTTACTAACGTACAGATGAGATCCAACAGCTTTGCATAGCTGTAAGTCTCTTGACTTACTTAATCCGTTCCTCTTATACCTTAGGTGTCTGAATTAAATTGAATTATTACTGTACATATTTATTTTTGGAAGAACTTATTTCTTAAGCAGACCTACAGATTTTGAGTATGTAAAATTTCATGGAAATAGCTTGAAAATTTGTATTTTTTTTTTTTGTAATTATGAGCTTAAAGTCAATATTCCATATAAATTGCATGGTTATATTACGATTTATGTTTTATCAAATTTCGTATTGCTAGATGCAGTGCTTTATTAGTTATCACCATTAAATCGAGAGCTGTATATACATATTTCACGCGGCAACCATTTTGTTGTTTTACATTCTACAAAGACATTATACTCGTACTAATAGAAATTGCACATTCTTCGAAGATCTATTAGGATACGTAATATAAGATTAAGAGGCTCTCCACCTCATATGTTCGTGTCCGCCATGTTGTTAATATCGATTGTAGGAAACTGAAGCCATGGGACTGAAGTGCCGTCTAATGGCACAGTGCCCGTACCAAACTTTGTTCACCTAATTCAGAAATTAATCACCAATATCCATCCTGCGCGCACACTCATGGAAACCAACTAAATTCGTTTGTACCTGGTAATGGGCTTAAAGAAGCCAGTTGAGGGACGATTATTCAGTTCTCCTTTTGTGTAGAAGTGTTTGACCACGGACCGGATGACAGGAATTCAAATCCCAGCAACTTTAATAATTTATTTCTTCGTCATTATATCCATACAGAATGCCTGGACGTACCCAACAAACTTTTAGATGGAAGAGAGTGATTGTTAGTTTTGAGGTTTTCACGGCGATGACTATGAAGAAAGTCGTCTTCTGGGTTTAGGCGCCGTGTGTTCTTCGTTTTGGCCGACGTTTCGGAGGAACGTATCGCCTCCATCTTCAGAGCAGGTGAATGGCTTGGAATTCAGAGAGCAGTAGCTGTCCTGCTCTCTGCATTCCAAGCCATTCACCTGCTCTGAAGATGGAGGCGATACGTTCCTCCGAAACGTCGGCCGAAACGAAGAATACACGGCGCCTAAACCCAGAAGACGACTTTCTTCAGATAGTGAAATTGATCACCACCTTCGCTACTGTACAAGAAAGAATATATGAAACCTTATCTTCACTTAACTGTAGATCTTCATGTTATGTTGCTTAGACACAAGATAACCTAATCGGAAAATTCAGTGACGATTTTAAGTTGGATGAATAGTATCGCCATGGAGGTGTACAGAGTACAGAACTTCGTTGTAATGCAGGGGTGGCTACTGAGTGTATTAGGAACAGTTGAGAGATTGGAAATGATAGTGAAGGACGGTTTGCTAGGATAGCTGTGTGTGTTTGTGTGCATAGAGTACGCAAGTGTTTGCTACAGACGGGCGAATAAGCAGTGACATATTATTAATTGTTGTTTACGAGAGAGGCTCTGGTATCGACCATTGTGACGAGTATTACAATTGTCCTCTGAGCTAACCTGTAAATATTCTACTTATTTAATGAAATTTCCTCAAAGATAAAAATATGAAGAAAAATACATGCATTTTTATTCTTAGCAAGTTTTAAACATTCACAACTTTTTGCTAATGAAATGTTCGAGGAAACGCGATAAAACAAATATTTGTTGCAATGAAAATATCGAGACGCGGGGAGAAACGATGGAAATGAAGGGCTGAAATAAGAAATAAAATCTCTCTGGATGTACTCGTACTGTTTTCATAACTTGTCGTAAGTCCTAACTTTTAAGGCAACACTTCTCATTCAATGTCTGTAACATTTCGTAATGAAACGGAATATATTTACCAGAAAGTTATAATTACGGCCTTCATCTTATTCTTCTGTTTTGCTTTTAGCATCTTTCCGTCCAGGCATGAGGAATTGATGGAAATCAAACCAAGAGACCCCTCCTTATATCCTTCACGTTTTAATATCTTGTTCCATTCTTTTTTCTGTGGGCTGTTGCAGGGTGCCGTCAGTAGTTGGAAGAGCTGCGACTGGTAGGATAACGATTTTTGAATTGGAAGAGACTTGGAAGGAAACGGCTGTGACCTAATAGAGCTAATATCGCGGTATTTTCATGGAGAGACTGAGAAAAACACAAAAAACTTCAGGATAGCCGGCGTCCCTGAAAAGATTCGAACAGAGCACCTCACGAATATGATTTCGTGTCATTACCAATACACCAATCCACTTTGACGTCTCCTATTCTTTGAACTGCGAACCTGGAGGCTAATGGGCCAATATAAAACAAGCAAAATTTATTTTAAAGCAAGAGAAATAATTCAAAACATATGTACTATAATGGCATTATTTTTGTTCTGTTCTAAAGATGTTCGCATTGATATGTTGAATTAAAATTGGTCGTGCCATAGCTCAGGCGGTTAGCCGTTGGTTTCCCACTGCGGCGAGCGGGGTTCGAGCCAGGGTCTGGTCAAGTGGAATTTGTTGTGGACAAAGTGGCGCTGGGGTAGGTTTTCTCCGAGTACTTTGGTTTCCCCTTCCAATCTTCATTCCACCAATTGCTCCACAATCACCCTCACCTATGATCTGGGGCTGGTACAATAGGCCAGTAGTGGCCGCAGTACAAGGGACTTAGTCCCACCCCACTAAGAATGAAGTGAAATGGTAAAATATAAAGTGAAGTGTAGTTTACATACCGTCCGTGTTTACAAACTTGGCCGTTCTAAAGAGAATATACAGTGAATTTGGTCGAGTCCACTGAGGTAAGAATTTGTTAAGATGTGTATGGGTTAAAGCAGAACATTTAGTCACAATGCGTCACCCTTCCTCCTTCCAACAATATATATGAAGCTACTGCCCCGATTCTTGTGGCCCTATTTCTCACGCGCAACACAGATGCTAGATTTAAAAACACGAGTTATGCAAGCTTTAAGTGTTGAAATGTCACTGTGTGTTAAGTGATATATGATGATATATATGAAACATATCAGCAAGCACAGTTGTGATGTCTGTGTGTGTGTGTACGTTAATTTGCAAATGTACGTCAAATATTTACGTATTTACATATTGGATAACATACCGTAATTCACGGATATCAGCAGTAATAGTAATAATAATAATAATGAGATAAATAGCGGAGATAACTCAGTCAATATAGCGTCGATCTACGAATTGGACGGCAGGGATTCGATTTCCACTCAGGGGCAAGAGGTTTGTC